ACGCACCAGACAAGTTCAGACACGAAACAGCAATTCAAAACACGGAAGTGCCACAAGAGGATGAACACAGGGACTGTGGGCACACGTAGTGGGGAAAGCCAGACACCCACCCCTCTCCCAGGCTGGTCGGTATGCCCTGGGTCAGCTGTGTACTTGTCAATCTCTCTGATATGATATTTTAAGCCCATCTGCATCCCTTGTACCTCAGCACAGGGCCTAACACAGAGAAGACATGCATTTGAAATTTTATAGCAAGAAAGATATTCGTTTTGATTGAACACCTAGTGTGTGCTAGGTTCTGTTCCAAGTGTTGGAAATACAATGCGAACAGCCCAAATCTCTTTCTTCATGAGGCCTACAGTCCAGTGGGACTATAATGTAATTGCATGAGTTCTTTACATTGCTAATTAATTAATTCACATGCCAAGAAGATAGAGGCTGGGAGCAGGAAGTGAACAGGCAATAGAATGTAGCAAAACTAGATACATGGCCAAAGCAGAATTCTTGACTTTCCCCACCTTCCTGCATCATCCCCCGCCACCCGCCGACACACCCCAACCTGCTCCTGCCTCGCAGTTGCCCATCTCAGTAATGAACATCAATAGTCATCAATTTCTTCCCAAATATCCCGATTACCTTCACTTCTCCCCATCCCGTTGCCATTGTGCTGGTCCAAGCCACCATCACTTCTTGCTTAGAGCTCAGCAGCAACTGCCTTCCTGTCTCCCACTGTCTTCCTGCCTCCAGGGCTGATTCTCTCCTTCCATATCCCACCAGCTTCTTCCAAGTTGTTGCTCATCCTCCAACCTCCCCTCCATGGTCTCCAGGTGCTTGGCCTAACACATTTCCTATTATCGTCTTGGGATCGGCCATGCTTAGTATTTTTCCCCCAAAACTGGCCAATCATCTTACTCACACTTCTGAACCTTTGCACAAACTATTCTCCCAGCCTGAAATGTTCCTCTTCTAAGCTTCCTTTGCACCCTCTAACCACCCCCAGCTTGGCCTAGGTACCTCTTTCTCATTCCTACATCTCAGTTTAAATATCTTGTCCTCAGGGAAGATGTCCTTCAGTCCCTAAGATTGAGTTTGGTCTCCCTGCCCCATGGCCTCACAATATCCTTTGCATTATTTTCTTTACTTGGATGTGGTCATTCTTCACCTGTATACTCCTCTTGCTTGTCTATAGGTTCTTGGAGGCAGGGGCTATGTTTGTCCTGCTCACCATCACCAGGAATTAGCATGATATCTCACAAACAGTAGGTGCTCAATTCTTTGAATGAATAAACTCTGGACCTATAGGAAGTAGAACTTGAAGCAGTGCAAAGTGTCCAAATATCTGCTGTTACATTTACTTGAAATATGACCTTGCAACTTGATAGATGACTTCTCTGAGCCTCTGTTTACTCTCCCTATAGGAAAAGTTATTAATATGCATTTGCAGGATTGTTGGGGAGTTATGTGTGAGAATCTGTGTGAAAATGCCTGGCTCCTAGGATTTACTCCACAAATGCATGGCAGATCTGTGGATGAGAAGTAAATAGCCTCAGTGCAATACCCTTACTCAGAAAGTTCATGTCTTGGGTCAAGACACAGCAGTTAAGACAGAGGCTCTCAAGCCAAGCTGCTGGACTAGATTCCCAGCTCTGCCACTTACTGTCTGGGGAACCTTATGCCAGATAGTTAAACCATTATGTGACTCAGTCTCCCCATCTGTAAAATGGGAATAATTATGACACCTATCTCATAGGATCATTGTGGGATTCCGCTGAGGTCAGTGCCTGGCACAAAGCAAATGCCCAACAAATGATAGCTTTTCACATGGCTGTTAACATGTAACACTGACAATCACACCATAATGCTCATATCTGTGGTCCTTCTAGACAGATGAAGGGACAAATTTCCAGAGAGATTAAATGACTGTTCAAGGTCATATGTGAGGAAATAGCAGCTTTGTGCTTCAAGGCCAGGTCTGCTGCACCCAAATCCCACATTATTTTCACTACATCAAAGCAGCAGCTCAAAATAGGCCTGTGGCATTTCAGCTAATTTCCTCTAAGCTCTTCCCAAGTAACCAAATGCAGGCATACAAAGCTGCCCCCCTAAGAGTATCCATTTAGCAGCTACTAAGTACTAAGTATGCCTGGTGCGTCCCAACCATCCAACGGGGCTTGTAACAAGCCAGCTCTTCCCAGGTAGCCTTGCCTGGTCAGCAGAAGGAACCTAAGAAGAAGAATTAGATTGGGAAGACCAGCCTAGCCAACATGGTGAAATCCTGGCTGTACTAAAAATACAAAAATTAGCCAGGCATGGTGGCAGGCATCCGTAATCCCAGTTACTCGGGAGGCTGAGACAGGGGAATTGCTTGAACCCAGGAGGTGGAGGTTGTGCCTGAGCCAAGATCACGCCACTGCACCCCAGCCTGGGTGATACAGGCAGACCCCATGAGGAAGAAGAAGAGGAGGAAGAAGAAGAGGAAGAAAAAGAGAAGAGGAAGAGGAAGAAGAAGAAGAAGGAGAAGGAGAAGGAGAAGGAGAAGGAGAAGGAGGAGGAGGAGGAGAAGGAGAAGGAGAAGGAGAGGAGGAGGAGAAGGAGGAGGAGGAGGCCAATTTGGATGTAAAAGAGAGGAGGAGAAATGAGAGAAAACCCACACTTATTGAGTGCCTACTATGTGTCAGGCACTTTACATCTACCATTTAACCCTTACTGTGATCACTCCAGTCATTGTTCATCAAGTGTCTACTATGTATAAAGCTATACTCCAGGTCTCAAAGATATAACAGTGAACAAGACACAGCTGTTGACCTCAAAGAGCTTTCAAATCAGTGAAAGAGACAACACATACACAATTATGTGCTATATGTACGATGGTGGAGGTCTGAATAGGATGGGTGGCTTGGTGGTGAAAAGCAGGGAGAAGCTGGGAGGAGCTTCAGAAAGGAAGAGGTAGGTGCTAAAGTGCCCATTTAACATATGGTAAGACTGAGGCTCTAGGAACTTAACTTGTTTGGAGCTATGCCGTTACTGAGCAGAGTCAAGCTGTGCCCCAGGCCTATTCTCTCTCTGGTAGTCTCTGCACTGTCCATGCTGGAAGCCTAAAAGCTGTTGCTTTCCTCCCCCACCCCTTTCCCTTTTCTCAATGATCACCTGACCAGAAATTAATCAAATGGTGCTAAAGCTGCAGCCACTGTCAGTGGCTAAGATATTAGCAGATTCTGTGGACAAACAGAAGCTTCTGAGCCTCTGTTACTGATTTTTTCTTTTGAGTAAAACCTTCAGAGGTTGGTCTGAAAGCGGGAGGGAGATGAGAAGAAGGGCTCTATCTGCAGTCTAAAGGGATTTTTGGACAGGTCAAAGACAACCAAGGTGACAGCAATAAGTGAGGGCAAGCCTCTTTGGCTCATGTGACTACCCCCAAGCATCTCTCCACTCCCCTCAAAAGGCCTAGCCTATCTAAGAGGACTTGGTGCCTGCCCCTCACCTTTGCTTCAAGGACAGAAGCCTTGAAAATCAGCCACCTGAGCCACTGGCTGAACTTGCTAGGTTCCCTGCTGTATGGGATCAGCAGATCAGCCCTCCCCATTCCAATACCCATCCCCATCCTCACAGGACAAGAAACCAAAGTGGAGAAGTCTTCAGTCTGCAAATAGAGCTCTTGCTGTACCCCAAAGGTACCTTAGCAGAGGTTGCAGAAACCTTGGTTCTGTTCTCCAGACACCAGGAACCTCTCCCAGATACCAGAAGCACAGCAACTGCCCCTCATAGGAGCCTTTGGGTTCTGAGACAAGAACAGAGTGGTAGAAAGGAAATTTTGTGCTGGGCGAAGAAACAGGTAGTTTTTCTGTCAAAAAGAATACACTGGTCGTACCTGCAGACCAACTCTGAGCTGAGAGAAGGAAGTTAGGCAATGGACTTTACACCAAAGAAAGACTGTTTTTAGTTCACTCATCTTTTATATACTCTCTGATAATCACCACATCACTGAGAAATTGTCAAGCAAATAATCTCAAGAAAAAAAGTAGAGGGAGAGAGAAGAAAGTATTGAATAATTGAGTTATGGGATTGAAACATCTCAACTCCCCCTGCCTCAATTGACTCATCATACTCACATCCTCTCCAGGGTCTCCCCCCCACCGACACACACACACACACACACACAAAATATCAAAAACATGCAAAAACATGCACCCCCATCATGCCTCATGTGCTCTCACTCACTTAACTATAAAAGTGATCAGAGAAAAAAATGTAATCTGTAGCAGCAGAAATTAATGTGCTTCTTTCTACCAGAGGTCACATTAAGGAAAAGTTGCACATAAGAGAAATGAGAGGCGACACTGTAATTAACCCACACACAATGATTCTTCTGAGGAAGAGGGGAGGGTTTCGGTGTTCCAGTGTTCATAGAAGGAAGATTTTTTATCTCTTCCAAACCAGTTTATGAATGACTTAGGATACTTAGAAGGATTCACATTTCACCCACTTCCCCTGAGAACATGTTTATCCCTGAAATGAAAATCATTACTCAAGCCCCAGCTACGAGTCGCCCTTTTGCACCCTTTTCCACGAATAATCTTTCCAAAATGTCTGCTTGTAGAAGCAAGATTTGGAATTTCACGGAAAACTACAGAGACACAGACAGAGCAATGCACACCCCCTGGTAAGCCAGAGAGAGACAGAGAGGAGAGAGGAAAACCGAAAGAAGATACAGCTAACGGACCAACAAAATAAATCCCCAGCAAAGAAAAGTGAAAACAATGATTTAAAAAACACGTAAAGACGTGTTTGTAATTACCCGTCCAGGTTACATGCTCGCCGCTTCCAGGCAGAGAAACGGCTCGTTGAAGTTTTGTGCCCGTCTGACTGTGATGGGAGGGTTGTATTTGAAGCTCTGGGCACGTAGAAATGGAATGAGAAGGAGGCTGAGCTGGAAGAAACACCAAGGGGGGAGGGAAGGGGAGAGAGAGAGAGAGAGAGAGAGTGTGTGAGAGAGAGAGAGGGAGGGAGAGGGAGAGAGCTATCTCTAGCTACGCCTTCCTCTAAGCCCCGGGAGCCCAGGAGAGCGCTCATTTTAGGATTTGGGAGAGGGGTAAAAAGAGGAAAGGCGGCCCCCGCTCTGCGCTGGCCTTGCTGCCCCAGGGAGGGAGGACTCTGGCCCGCGCCCCCCTCCTGGAGGGCGGCCCTGGGAGCCGGGGAGCGCGCGGAGCGGGCGGCGCAGGGAGCTGTCCGGTTCAGCACCACCCGTAATGCAGTAGGTGGGAGCGCCTCCGCGGGGGCCCAGCCGGCAGCGAGTGGGGGGCAGGCGCGCGGCCCACCCTGCAGCAAGACGCCGGCTCCCTCGTTTCCAGGAGCTTTGCAGATAGCGGGAGGGAAACCCGCCTCGATTCTCCGGGAGAAACCCCCTCTCTCCCCCACTTCGCCAACACTACCCCCGCCACCAACAACAATAAGCGCCACCGCCGCTCGTCCTGCCGCCGCCGCCGCCGCCGCCGCCGCCGCGCCTGCCCGCCCTGCCGCCGCCGCCGCCGCCGCCGCTGCCCGGGCAAAACCATGGAAAGCGAGACCCCCGCACCTGTGCAGCTGAGCTCAAGGGCTTACAGAATACTGGGAAGTCTGGTCTGAAACGAAAGCGCCGAGACCCCCCAAGGAAGAGAACTGGCGAAGCAAAGGATTTTCATGGCGCAGGCCGCAGAGCCGAGAACGAAGACCGAAGGTTGCATCTCGGCTCTTACAATCTCTAACTGTCTAGGTCCCGACCATGAGAAATGGTGTTGAGAATTCGGCTGTTCCCTGGTTCACTGTGGAAGCCATCTCCAAATTAGCTATCACATATGGAAACTGGAGACCAGAATTTTAGAAAAAGAGATTAAGGCATCTCACTTGGGGGGGTGGGGGGTGTCTTTTTATTTTTTTTTTCTTTTTTTTTTTAAAAAAAAAAAAAACACTGCAACTGGAACAGTTTCTGATCTCAAAAGGCAAGCCTCTTCCCGTGTGATCTTTATAATTTACACTCTTTTCCGTGAGCTTTCTTACCTCCCTTTTTTTATAACTCTCCATATTCTCTATTCATACATATATCCATTATATTAGTAGTGGAATAATTTTTATTTTTATTTTATTTTTATTTTTTTTTTTTGGCTTTAGTACTTGCACCCTCACACACACTCTCCCGAGAACCAGAAGTCGGTTGGGTGTTTATATAATGAAGAATTATGGGGCTGTTTGATCGAGGTGTTCAAATGCTTTTAACCACCGTTGGTGCTTTCGCTGCCTTCAGCCTGATGACCATAGCTGTGGGAACCGACTATTGGCTCTACTCCAGAGGGGTTTGCAAGACCAAAAGTGTCAGTGAGAATGAAACCAGCAAAAAGAACGAGGAAGTTATGACCCATTCCGGATTATGGAGAACCTGCTGCCTAGAAGGTATTTGACTTCCCATCTCCTCCCCCCCTCCACCCCACCCCTCCCTTTTCACTCCCCCCCCCCACCCTCCTCCAAATAAGTCCCCTTTACATTCCACCATTTTCTTAGTTCACTCCTTCCACCACCGATCAAGGTTGGTTGGGTTAGTTTCAGAGGAAAAAAAAATCAATAAGCAAAACCCATACTCTACTCCCTTGCCTCCACCACCCCTCTTCCCCTCAAACATCCTCATTGGAATAATCTATGACATGGTGAAAACGACAAGAGATTGTTTTTAAAAGTCAAAGGTGTTCTGCCTGCTTTGGAGTCATTAGGATTTACCATCCGATTTAGCATTGCCATCTATGAGAGGGTAAAATAATTGCTTCTGTCTATGCTGTTTCTCTTTTCGCAATGAAGAATTCAAAAATGCTCTTCCCTTTTCCCTCCTCTTCTCCTTACTCCCCAAAAGTCCTAGATGCATCACCATCTGCAAATCTCCTTATTTAAATAAAAAGAATATGTTGTTTCTAAGAATCCTTACGTGGTAAATCCTAATTATTCCAGGATCTCAAGCTGAGTTCAAGAGCATTTCGTAATGTCTATGAGCCACACAGATCGTTCGAGGTGGCTGGCTGCGTGTGTGTATTTGTGTGTTTTAACGTTTACAAAGTCTAAAAATACATACGTCTCTCACAGGAAACAAGCCCAAGTTCTAATAAACAGCAATTCACTTGCGGGTTAGGCTTCCACAGAGTGACATGTCTGTTAGCCAGAAGCTAGTAGAGTCAGCATTGCAGCCGGCTTGAGAATCAGACATTGTGCAGGCAGGCAGAGAGGGAGGGAGGTGAGGGCATGGGGAGGTTGAGGGGGGAGTGGGGGTGTCAGCTGTTTGCCTTGATCTTGCGGAGTGTTGAGGCATGTGTGTCTGTGCTGTGAGCACAGGGGCCGCCACAGTGTAAAGGCTGGGGGATCAGGCTATGGATGAAGGCATGTACTTCTGGGACACATTAATAAGCACAGAAAAAAACTCCTGTGGGTCATCCAACCTGCATTTGGCAACAGACTTTAATATGAGGGACTGTATTTGAATGGCTATATATGTCTGTGTGTGCAAGCTACATCCACCCATAGAAAGACGAGCACAGAGAGATACATATGCTTCCGTGTGGGGGAAAAAAAGGCTTATGTGTTTTGCTTCTGATATGAACCAATACTGGAGGCCATCTGAGGCAGCGTCGGGAAGCAGGGACTGCAGGATTGTTTGTTAAGCTCAACATGGGATGGTGATGCAAGGAGTTGAGACCAGGGGATGGGGGAGAAGAGAGAGAAATGGGTGGGTGAGGGAGAAACTGATGTGGCCCCAGGGTCTAACCCAAACTGAGCAAAAGCCACTCTTTGGGAAATGATTACATCTGGGAAAGAGCACAAATCCCATGCCCCCCTCCCAACATTCTTGGTGCAAACGGTTGAGTGATGGCTGAACATGTTTTGAATAGCTAAGTGACTTCATTGAGCGATGGTCTATTTGACGCATACTGCATTTGGTGCCCTTTCTCAATCCAAACTGCTGCCTTTAACATATTCTGCAGAGGAGCTCTATGCTGAATACTATATGTTCTTCCCCAGCCAGAGAATCAATATCAAGAAATTAATAGGGACTGTTTTAAACACACGCACACACACACCCCCTCCTTAAAAAAATGAAAAGCCTTTCATACAGCTAGTCATTAACAGTGGGAAGACTTCCATTTAATTAAACATTTATGACAGACTTTTATTCCAAAAGAGAAGAAAAGCAAAGTGAATGAGGACCGCTTTAGGGAAATGATCATAGTGGCAATTTGCTTTCCTTGGATTTTAGTTAGATGGATGAAGGGAGATAGGTAGCCAAGAGACTAGAGGAGAGACAAGACATTGTTTTAGTGTAAATACACCCAGAAATGGGTGGGTTGGCATAAATATACTTTTCTAAATCTGCGTTTTATTTCCAAATTCTTAATATTGTGATCTTTTAAACATTGTGTAATTCCCAGAAGGCAAACAGACTAGAGGCAGTTTTATATCACCCATGCATTAAGAAGGCTTAAGTATTTTCATTAAAATTCCATCTGTTTGATGTCCACATCCCCAAATGTGCTGCCCACCCCCTTCAACTTTCTCTCCAAGCTGCACACTCCCTCTCTCCCTGAATCGTCTGTAAAGGGTTAGAATTGCAACACTTCCCAAGGATTGTGTGATGCACACAGGCACTGTGGGTTGGGCCACACTCCCCAGCGGGGCCTCACTGCCCCGGGGCAGTACTGTGGGGCCCTGCCAGGCTCTCCTCAGGGGTGATACTCCCTTTCCACTTGTAGCCATGGCCGGGGCAGGAAGGGCTGGAGCTCCGGGCCTGCTTTTGACCTGGCCTTTAATTTCCAAAGCCTCTGTCAACTGGAGCTTTGCAGGCCTGGGACCACCTTAGGAAGATGGGCCTTGGCCACTTAGCAAATGGTTTGGAGACTGTAAGCCTCTTATTTTCAAAGACTGCACTGATCTCCAAAGGCTGTAAGTTCAGTTGTTTCTGGAAGTTGGCATAGACAGTCCTTGGGGGCTGGCAGTGTGCTTGCTTTTATGAGCACTCACGATGGGGGTGCTTTCTATGGAGATCAAGTTGTTAGTGCTTTGGGTTCCCTCAACTTGTGTTTTTTTGTGTGTTTGAAAAATTGGACTTTCAAAAAAGATCCCCCCACCCCCTACCCCTTAACCACTGGATCTGTGTTTTCTGCCCAATCTGGAGAAGTTGCAAACAGAATTCACGTCGTCTTTCTAAGATGCCGCTAATGACTCCAGATTAAAAACAACCCTGTCGTCCTCTGATCTCTTTTGCTCTCTGGTTTTCATTAGTGCTTTTTGTCTCCCGAGGTGATTATTTTCGTTCACCTCTTGATGAAAATAAGAATAGGAAAAAAAAAGTCCTTGCCTCTAAGGCTGCTTTTGAAATTAACTAGTCTGCTGAAGAATGAGAAGAGACATGGCCACCTGTTAGGGACAGGCACAGGGGGAGGGGGAGAAGGGCCAGGGGAAAAACCACCACCCTTATTTTCTCCCTCTGCAGACCGAAAAGTCTGTGTGTGTGAACTTGAAATCCCTAGCAGGCTGGTGTCCTTAGGGGGATTTGAGGAGCGTGGGTGGGAGAGGACAGTGTGTATGTGGATACAGGTAGGTGGGGAGTGATAGAAGTTCGTGAACTTTTCAAGAAAGCTGAATTAAGAATCTCTGCATGGAGAGATGAATTGGCTCAGAGAATTATGCTCAGAGAAGAAGAGTTCAATGAAATCTACAACAAGATGCTAAAACAGCTTGTTCAAGCAAGGTGTCTCGAGGCTGCCTGGTGACTTGCTGCTCAGGATATTAACCTCTGCTGTCACCTAAAGGAAACATCGTCTCCAGGGACAGCGAGAAATTCACTCTTGGTGCTTAGTCTCTCCTATGCCTTCCTCCCTTCTGTTCTGGCTCTGTGGCTCCCCCAAAGGATTTCCAGATCTGCAGAGGTCGAGCCAATAGCAGGCATAATGTGGTCTGTAGAGGAAGCAAACTCCGTATTTTCTCTCCCCCTCTGTCCGTTTTGCCTTACTGTGAGGCAGAACAGAAATCTTACTCTCTGTCCAGGCTGTCAGATTCCCTCTGCTGAATATCTCAGCTCCTCATCCATCAGTGGCTTCTCTTGTCTTGCCCCCACCAGGATGCTTGCTCATGGGGGCTCTGCCAGCCACTCTACATCTTTGCTCTCTTTGAGCAAGAAGTATCTCAATGGTCCCAAATTGTCTTTTCCAAGTTCATGACGGCCTGCGAGGTGATACAGTGCTCCACACTCAGCTCAGCCATGGGTCTCTTATTCTGCAGAAAAAGAAAAAGGATGCATCTTTTATTTTAGGAAAGCCAATAGCCTTTCCCAGACACGCTTGCTTTCTAGCATGGGTGGGCTGAATTTGGAAGCTACTAACAGGTCTTCACACTGTGCAAGTATTGCTCCATAATTCCCAAGATAATTTGACTTTCTTTAGGTACTTTGCACACAGGAAGTGCATAAGAAATATTTATCAATGGATTGATGCAGAAATTCTTAAAATTACCGAGATGAATGCAAACATCATAAGGACATGTGACAACCAAGTGATCGAGAGAGAGAGAAAGAGGGAGGAGAGTGGCGAGAAAGGGAGAAGGAGAGAGGGAGAGAAAGGAGAGAGGGAGAGAAGGGGGTGCAGAAGTCAGAATGATTTGTTTGTTCTTCCTGGAACTTCTTTTTTTATAAGAATAATAATGAGTCATGAATTCACTATTATAAGATAAGTGAATTCAAAAGGAGTCAGTCATTGAGGTTGCACAGCTCCTAATTGGCTATAGTGAAGGCAAATTACTCAAGGAAAGGTAAAGAAAAACGATCCATGCACACAGCCTCTATAGGAAAGAAAAAATAATAATCAATTGATTTTCTTCCCTTTTCTGCTTTTAAAGTATACCAAAGTTCAGTGTGAAATCAATATTCCCTAGAACAGACACCTCTGAGCAGAGAGGAGGCCTTAGAATGGCCCACCCCTGCTTAGCTCCAGTAGAACCTTCTACTCTTTTACAAACCTCCCATCCAATTCAAAGAACCCTGACAACTTTCCCTCAGGCTTGGGTTCTAATCAGCAGCTTTTCCATACAGCGAGGCCTAGCATTCCCAGCCATTCTCACCGTGTTAGCCAAAACTGACTCCTCTACCTGGAGACCTGGTCAGTTCACACCACACTCCCTGCCCTTGCTTCCTTTCCGGGTGAGCTGAATGAGGCTCACAGGAGTGAACAACACACCAAAGTCATGTAGCAGGCAGTGGCTGAGCCAGAACTTGAATCCAGTTCCTTATGACTCATCGAGCTACATTGTCCCCCTATCCCGTGCACTCTGAAAGCCTCCAGAGGAACTCTGGGCAGTAGACCCGAGCCAAGGTGGCCTCCCACTTATATTCACTAACAAGCACTGTTCTATCCAGTCTGCTT